AACCTATACATATATATTTGTCATTTCAATGGATCCAATTATTATTGTAAATTCAAATCTAATTAAACTAATAAGTCTATGTTAATTCTTGCACTTTAACAATATAAACAAAAAAGGGGGGTTTGTTAAGTTAGTAAATGACCAAGCGTAGGGATGCTATGTTGCCAGCATGAATATGTCAAAGTCTTGTTTGACAGGGACCACAAACAACGATGTCATGAGTCCAAGTCATAAGCCGTCCCTCTTATATAGTAGTAGTAGTAGATAGTATTTCCTCTGGCTCAATTCAATTCATTTTATTTTGTATAGCCCAAAATTACAAATTGGCCTCAGAGGGCTTTTCAGTCTGTACACATACAACATCCTCTGTCCCGAAACCCACAGCACACTTGATTATGATTATCTAATGTGGTTTCAGAGGGGTGATATGAACGTTGGTACCTGTTCATAATAAAGTCAAAGTGTGCCTTGAATGTTGTTAGCTGTGTCAAAGTGCCTGTAAAAAAACGGCTTAGTCTTTAAAAATAACTTTACCATACCACAAAATTGCATTTCAATGTGCCTCACCAAAGGACCTTCAACCAGAAGACCATTGATCGTGTCCTGTGTGAAACCAAAAGTCAATGTTGTTTGACTTACATCAGTAATTTAAATAGCAGTTTGGTATTGTTTTTGTTTGGTTTCAAATTGAGTTTCCCTCAAAATATAAGACTGCAGTTTGGTTATTTTAGAACATCAATTTGTAGAGATTGTTTGTAATATTTACCCAGGAGTGCGGATGCTTTCATCTGTATTCATGAAACCTTTTAAAAAGAAATCAACACAGCCCCTCAATAGAGAAGTCACAGGGATTTACACAGCGTGTGATTGTGCCGACTTTGGCCGTGTTCCTTTTGCCGTCCATGGCACCTTTCAGCTGTGAGACCATAACAACAACAAAAAGCTGTTTTATGAAGCAGCTCAGTGGTGAGGTAAGTGGAAAAACAGAAAGGTTACATTGTTGTTATTGGTACCGCTTCTTTTATTGGGCCTTTTAAAATCCGACACGGTTACGTCGCCTTTAATATTTACTTACTTACTAGCTAATTTGCTGCGGTAGAGCGGAGTCTCGCACTTTCTATCCTATTGGCAGTCGTTTTATACTTTCAGAACTGATCGGTTTGAGGAAATCACTTTTGACATAAATATATTCTTTGTTTGAGACCATAACATAAAAATGTTATGCACAAATCTATAGCCAAACTTCAACTGTCCCTTCTTTTTCTTCATCTCTGTGTGGCCAAAGTTTCCCTGAGCTCAGCTGCTCTGACCTTTTACCACAAGTCCTACAAAACCGGGTTTGTTCAAATGTCCTAAAAAAAAGAAGAAACTGAAAAAAACACATTTTTGCCAGATGTTGTTCCTTACTTCTTTCCACATACTTCAAAAGAAAAAAAAGAAAAAGTGTGTGTGAACTCTGCAATGACATCAGAAGTTGCTTGTTGTTGTGCAGGGCTGCAGGAGAACGATAGAAACAGAGTCACAGACACAGACCAGTTTTTCTGCGGTCTCATTCCACCGTGTGTCAGATTTCATACAATAAGCTCCTTCACTTCCTCAGCTGCTTCTGCGTCTCTCTCTCTCAGAGAACTCTACTTGGATCTTGGTCCCCAAAGGAACCTCCTTTATCAGCGTGTTTACATCCAGGCAGAGGTACTCCTCTGCTTCTTTTAGTCACAGAGGAGCCACAGACTGTTCCTCTGTGAAACCACAGAAATCCGCTTGCTCTCTTCACTCCCCTGTCTACACGCTGAAATCATAATAAAGAGGCTTTTATGTTTCGTTGCGCACCCATTAGGTTAGTGATATTAAACATATGCTCATGTCAATAATGTATTATGTTTTCCAAATTAAAGAAAAGTTTTTACTTTCCGGACGGCTTTAGAAATCAGCAAAAAGTGTCAGTTTTCATTATTGTAACGACCATATTACTATGGATTACTAGGATTATTGAAACTGTTTACAAGAGGCAGTGATGAATATATTTGTTGGATTAGGAACAGAATCAACTTGTCACCTTAAGTCAAGTGACTACGGACAAACAACAAAGCAGATCAGTTTGTGTTGTTTCATGATTTTTACTGTAATGCAGAGATATGATTATGAGCACAAACATAGTCAAAACTCTTATCAAAACACAACATATTTATCAAAACCGTTAAGGGTTTCTACTTCACGTTTACTTTACATTCTCCTTATTGGAAATTCCTGAAGACATTAACATACAATATAGATTCATTATTAGAGACACAATGGTAAAAGGCGTTTGTAGCTATACTGTAAGCAAATGATAAGTAAAACTTGTTTTGACACAGTGGGGCTGAATATACATATATTAAGACAAAGATAATGGACAGACGATAATATTATACAATACTAATTTTTGACACAAACTGTGTCCTACACAGACCTTCCATGTCTCTTCTTTATGGCCCCAGGAAAATTCCATATCATATCATCATTGCAGACGCAAAGGGGGGATTCACAGGTTCAACTGGCTGAAGATATTTCTGCAAGACGTAGCGCTACGCACCGCTCACTACATATTCTACATGAAGAAGTCGGCTTGGGGGGATTATTATTTCATTATGTTTTTTAAGCTTCTAATGCTTCGTTAAGTAAGGCAAACAGATCAGAGCAGTCGTAATTGATTTATTAGATGTAGCACTGCTATTTGTGGTACGTGATTTTATGAATGAGAGTCTAATTGACCGAATTGTTGTATTTATTTACAGTAGTTACAGGTGATTCGTCGCATTTCTATGCGCAGTTGTCATGGTGCATGATGGTCTTTTATAACAATATCCAGGTAGACTTGTTCCCTAAACAATACCGATTATTAACATTAGCCATGGGGCATTGTGCGTTTCAGCAAGCTTAATACAAAACAGATAGCATGTCATGGGCCCATTAACTTCAACCTCTCTGAGGCACAAACGCAAAGTACGATGCCAACATTTTTTCTGTGTTGATCTGAAATTTACAATTGAAAACATCCACACAAGAAAGATGCATATTACTTGGAGATATACCTCTCTTCTTTCCTTTGCAATGACAACATCTACTTTAACAACAGAAGGCATTTATTCTATGTGCAACAACTTGACAATTTACCTTTTTTAACATTGAATAAAAAAACAATATACACCAAACTGCATAAACACCCCTCTAAGCCACCTTTGCCGCCTTCGTTATGTTACATTTCACATGACAACACACATATGAGTTGGCGCTGCAGCTCGTGTCTGCCGAGTTCGTATAGGAATGTACAGTAGTCATGCATATTGATAAAGAGGTACCCTGCTGTATGTCCGGTGAACACTGGGAGGCAGACTTTGTCTGCTTTGCACACAGCTCCGGTCCGCCTGGGAATAAAATGTTGAGTCATGGCAGGGGGAGAGGGAGGGACATGCATAGAGAGAACATCCCACTGGAGGTTGGCTCTATTGCTTTTTGGAGAATGTGCATTCATCCCTCTTTTGAGGTTACTTTCGCAAAACAAATGCTCACACTGACTTTTCAGCAAAAACATAAAGTACAGACATCGGTATCAATCCTCCTGTCTGTTACCAACTCCAACTGCTACCCACTCTCTCCCATTTATCTCCCCCCACTGGCATCAAACAAATACTCTCCACTTCCCTCCTTCCTCTTCTATTTCCATCTCTTTAGTCCTCACGCTCGTGGCCTAGTCACTAAACCTTCCCTTGACTCCTACATCCTTTCCTTCATTCGTTCCTTCCTCCTCCTCTTTCTCTCTACGGGGCAGCCAAAGGGAATGGCATTTCTCTAACAGCAGGAGGGTGAATCTGTTGTCGGCCTCAGCCCACGCTGAGAACAGCGAGGATGTGTGTGTGTGTGTGTGTGTGTGTGTCTGCGTTAAGGTCTGTGACTGTTATAATGAACACGTGACCGGAACCCCCACATGGCAACGCCTCTGTATGACGCCACACATCTGTGGCGTCCGATGATGTGGGCTAGAAAACCCCCCCCCCCACACCCCTCCCTCCCACACAAACCCATATCAATGGACCCTCTTCCTTCTGTTATTATTCCACTTGTTGATGAACATGCTCTAACAATTGGAATTACGTGGTAGTAGCTATTATTTGGGAGCTGAACAAGATGGTCATAGAGTTAGTTACAATTTGACCATTAAAAGTTTGGTAATTAAACAGCTCCTATAAGCAGCATACTCAATGATGTCACGACAACTATTGCTGGATATTGTTCCGGATATTAAAAGGAGCTTTTCTTGAGCTGATTCACGGACCACTTTGTTTTCCGATGGAGATTATTGCCGGAAAGGGCAAGTAACACAGGCACAGTCTCTCTCTCTCTCTCTCTCTGAAGTAGGGCAATAGGGCCCCACCTTGAGCCCAAAAAAAGAAATCATAATTTTTTAAGTTATATTAAAAATACATGTTACAAATAGTCAATATGTGTCTATTTGTGTTTTTCAAACATGGAATATACTCGGTTATATTTGTAAATGAAGATATCTGCACAGGGTTGACTGTGGCGCATGGAGTAGAGAGGGTGCGCCAGGAACCGTAAGGTTGGCGGCTCCAGCCCTGGCTGCTCCATGTCCCATTTCGAAGTGTACCTGAGCAAGACACCTAACCCCTAATTGCTCCCCGGGCAAAAATGTAAAAAGCCATGGGTTAAAAATACAATGTAAGTCACTTTGGATAAAAGCGGCAGCTAAATTACCTGTAATGTAATGTGCAAAATACAGTACATGCTTTTCCTGCACGCCCTCTCCACTTGTCTGCTGTCAGCTGGGCTCGGGCACGGTCCCAAAGCGGCAGGTCTAACAAGCAGTTAGCCAATCGCTGATAAAGTTAATGAGTGACATTATAATTTCAGAGTCGTAAAATACATTGAGATTTGGGCTCGCCCTTTGCCTCCCTACGCTGCGCTCTCGTCAGGTCTTTGACGTGCCGTTTAAAATACGATCACGAGTGACCACCAGCAGTATATATATATATATATGTATAATGCTTCATGTGAGCTGTTGGCTGATAAGAAGCCTAACCACAATGACTACTTTTGGATGCTAAAATCCACCTTTCTCTAAGCCATCATTAACTCGCCCTGAGGAGGCACACGTTGCAATTTAAAAATCCACCTTGGACTAAACTAATTGTTTGTCAGCCTCAAAATCAGTTTTAAAGACATTTGGCACAGCTCAATAACGCTGACGGCAAATGAACAAACACCTGTCCACATGGCGACAAAATACCCCAGATTCCAGATTCCACCCCAAGCTCGGCCAAAACTACCCCCCCCCCCCAATTACCTGATACAAACTGGCGTTTATTGCCCATCTTTTGGGGACTGGCTTCAGTTTCATTTATGGTCTGGGAATGCTGCAAAATAAGACGGGTGTCCCAGAGAACAAATGTGAAAACCTTTTGTGAACAGACATTTCCGGGGAAATGTAATTAACAAAATTTTGAAAAAATCCAAAAGTTTAAAAACTGAAAGTAATGCTATTTACATAATTGTATGTGTTAGAGAAGAAAAGATTTGTTAGGATGAGCGCCCGCTGTGTCACCTTGATGTGAGACACAGCGAAGGACAATTTGCCAGGTCCATCCTTCTGCTCCTACTTTAAAATAACAAACGGCTGCATGGGAGGTGAGTGGAGACAGGGTGAGACATGTTGGGGAGGCAGAGACCTAGGGTGGGGGGGGTTGGAGTCCGGAGTCAGATGTGTCGGTGAAGCTCCGGTAGCGGCGAGGAAGAGAGGGCCGGTCGGGGTTCGACGCCCCGGCTCTTCATGAAAGACAGCAGCTGGTCAGGGATTTCGGCGAGGACGTCCTTAGCCAGCCGGGCCATGCTGAGGACCTGGTTGCCGGATCTGTCGATGTAGTCCCTGAATGGGACAAACTGGAAGCGGGGGCAAACTGTTGTTTAGATCTTTTGGTAGCATTCGTATACGGTCTATGTACAACGATTGATGACATTTCTTTTGGACACAAAAATATTTGAAATATATTCTGCTGAGCTCATGCAATGATTTAACCATCTGTTTTTAATCCTTCATCTGATGTGCAGCCTCATTAAATATCAGCAGAATGACCAGAATGTCTTGTAACCACTTGTTTTGTAGTTTGCCCACTCACATTGTTTTATGTAAAGAGTTATTTTCAAACTTCATTACCCTGCAGAAACTAGTGTGTCAGGCAGGACAGGGGATTAAAGCGCTGCAACAGAAATCTGCAACCCCTTCTCAGGATACATATTTATCAAAGAAATAAAAAAGTGTTTTGCCTGTTCATCCTACAACCCCGTCATGCATGAGGCTGTATAATTCTTCGTGCTCCCTGCACATTATGCAACTGTAATTCTTAAAAAATGATGTATATCAAATTGTAGATTTAGATGTGGATAGTGGAATTGCAATAAGGACATATTTGAATTATAACATGGAGCATATATGTATTTTATCATTGTAATAACCTATAATTGTTTTTTTGTTCTGACTGAGATCCTAGTACAGAAAAACTTTATTAATGCCTGAAACTATCCTGTAAATCACGGGTGTCAGACTCAAGGCCCGCGGGCCAAATCTGGGCCGCCGAATGACTTAGCTATTGTGAGAATTATAGAAAGACAAATTGCATTTCTATAAAAGTAGCTGCCATTCCAAATCATTCCACTCGGGGTTGCACTCTGTGAGTGAGCACATGCGCCCTTAAGCAAGATGCAGAGCTTGTTCCGTGGCTCATCATAGACATGCATTTATGATTTATTTTCTATGAGGCAGACCCAGTGTGAGTCATAAATTAAAGCAGACCTCCACCTGGAAAAAAACCCCTCCTCAATGCAGCTGCCTTTGACGTTAAACAGTATTATTGTAGTACCTGCACAATGTCTCTCTCGGCAAGACGTCCCCTGGAGGACACCCTCACTTCATCTCCATCTAGCTCCTCCATAGCTAGAAAATGAGAAAAAGCGACAGACACAGCATGACTTAATACCTGAACTACAGAAGGAAAAGTAAGTACAGTACAGGAAGCACAGAATGTTGTGTTGTATTTCCATAACGTAATTTGCTGATTTGGAGCACAGCAGGGGAAGTAAGAACAGATACAGGTGGGTTGGTAGAGGAGAGTGGTTAGAACGAGAAAGTTTCAAAAGAAAACGTTATGGACAATTACACTTTAGATCAGAAAAGGAAAACAAATCTGCCTACTCATGGAGGAAGCCCAGCAGGCTTTCTGATTTTTGACTTAAATTTGCGCTCTGATTGAGATGTCTTTCTAAGAGGTCTTCAAAAAGAGCAGCAGCGATCAGGTTAATCTTGCAACTGGAGTCGATTTGGCAGGGAAAAGAAACAGCCTGCCTCGAAAGGCGTTGTTTATAGGAGGTTCTGTTGGCACACAGCTAATGTGGGTGGAGCTAATGGACTCAATATGGTTTTATGGTGCAAATAGTCTGCCTGCCTCTGTAGATATTCATAATAAATGATTTGAAAGACTCCTCTGGGGTCCCTGAGAATCACAGTTTCATGGTACACATCCTTATTCAATTCAATGAGAAGGTGTGTTCAAACTATGACCGGTAGATTCACTAATCTAGCTATTTTCTTTTTAGATTTACTCATTTTAAATCTAGTTTTGCAAAACTCATAAAATAACAATTAGATTCCAAAAGTAACCTTGCTGGTGCAGCGAAGCCGAGGTGACACAATAGGAGATTAGAAACACTCATGTTCAGAAATGGAGGAGAGACGGACAAAGACAGAGCAAATAACAAATAGAGGCAATTAGCCCTGACAATAAGATGTAGACACACACACGCACACAAGCCAGTTTGAGCTTGCTTTCACCACCAATCCCACTGATTGCTTAAACAAGTAGAATACAAAGAGCTGATGATGAGGCTTTAAGTCACCACACCCTGTCGAGCAGCAACAGACAGACAGTATCTTTTGGTATCTGGTTTTCTTGCGAACTCCAACCATCAACCTAAAGGCTTCTCAATCTGAGTTTATTTTATGCTTTATGCTTTTATGCTTTCACATGAAGAGATGGGGTTTGGAGCATATGACCAATCACATAAAAAAAAGTTGTCAAACAAGAATCTAGTAATACAAGGCAATGCCACAATGCATCACATGGATTGAGGCGTCATACATGTCAACGTCAGAACATTAAAATAAAGAATCTTTGATCTTTTGATTAACCAAGTTTAAAGAGCTGCTTGTATGATCAGTCCTTATATTCAGTTGTGTCATTAGTAATTCTCTGTTTACATCCCTTTCATTGTCAACTGCAATACAGGAAAGCACTGCTGCAAGAGGCAACAAGAAACCTTATTTTTTAATTGGCTTAACTCAGCAGAACAGGTGGTTACCACCTGGAACCACAAATTTGATTGGATCAGACGCTGAAGAAATATTTTTTTTAAAGATCTGATCTGAGAAACAAATTGAATACTACTAATCAAACTCTCTTTCAAATGATAATACACATTCCAATACATATAAACTGTTCATCATAGTACGGACAAGAAAGGCACACTTTTAAAGGATGCCCTAGAAATGTTTTAACTCATTTAAATGTTTTAACTCATTTCCTCAAAGGGAGTTTTCAACTAAGTTCCCTCTTATTGTGTAATTTCTAAGAAGATGATGCTAACTCTTAATGTCACAGATTATCCACACAGAAAATAAAGAGGCTGCAGCAGAAGCCATGTTATGAAGTCTGACAACAGACAGAACTTCATCACTAGACTGTCAAACTGAGAATCAAACAGTTATATCCGGCCAAACTGTTTAATTGTGCCAATTTACACACTAAAATCACAGCAGTCTTCCGCTCTGGGAGGATATTCATTTTTCATAAGTATTTCTGTGGCTTTAAAAAAAAAAAACGGCTTGGTTGGCCGTACTGCCACATTTTAAGAAAATAACGTAGAGACAGTGTACTGAAGACAATAATAGCTAAGCCACATGCTAGGGTCTGGCTAACAGGCTGTTGGCCCTTCCAGGCTGCCTCTCTGGCCACCTGCCACCACTATGCTTTGGATTTCCTTGTGGATACTCATGAAGTGGACACCGCATTTTTTTAAAACACTGAAAGAGCCATCCGTAACGTCACCAACAACCTCTTCCTCTACTCAGACACCGGTCCCCTTAATATCTTCATTCTCCTCGACTGCAGCTTAAGACATCATCTGCCGCAGTATTTTTCCTTACCACCTCAAGTCCTTCCTTAGGATCAAAAGTACTGCTCTGCTCTGGCTTAAATAGCAGGTCTCACGAACAGCCAGCAGTTTATTAGTATCAACAACTGCACCTCCTCCACCACTCTTGTATCCCAAGGTGACCCCCAGAGTTTGTTGGTCCTCCTTTCTTAATGCTCTACCTGCTCCCTCTTGGCAATATCAGACATCAACACAGTCTCCACTTCCACTGCTACGCTGATCTACATCTTCACTAAAACCATCATCATTTCTACTCAGTCCATTCTGACTAACTGCCTTTCCAACATCAGTGTAAAAAACAACATGAATGCAAAGTAACTTTCTGGAACGAAACTGTGATTTGGACATATCGGACATGATCATAACCGGCCCCAAATCCACACAAAAACCAGTCACAACTTCTGCCTCACCATGGACAACTCCTCTCTGTCTCCCTCCACACACGTCCACAACCTTGGAGTTATGTTTGACAACCCCTCCCGCTCCTGTGATCAAATCTCCCCTGTTCTTCAGAATCTCCACTGGCATCCCGTCCCACAACGGATCCAATAGAAAGTCCCTCATCCACACAGCCCCCAACCCCCCCTCCTACCTCACCGACCTGCTCTATCAGCACACTCTGTCCCGTCCGCTACGCTCCCCTGATGCCAACCTCCTATCTCTGCCAGTCAGGACCAAGCACCAGAAAGGGGGCGACAGAGCCTTCTCCATGGCTGCCCCCTCCCCAAAGACTACTGTGATCTTTCAATGTTCAAATCAGAAATCAAAACTCCCCTCTTTGCTGCTGAAAACATTGTCCGACTAATGCTGTGTGATTCTGCTAGTTTTTACAGTATGTAGCTCTCAGTGATCATTTTCACCCCTCAAAAAATAAAATTTATAACGAAAAAAAAAAAAAATCAGGTGACAGATAATATATAATAAACAATGCATTATAATGTTCATGTTATTACTCATTGTTTTGCAGCTGACTGCTAACCGGGTGTGAAGCCAGTTACCTTAAAAGTGTGTGATGTGTGTGATACTGCAAGATTTTTTTGTCGTCTCTTTGATGTGAAATAGTATGAATCCATTCTTATAATGAACACTCACCATCAAACTCGGCAGGTCCAACGCCTACGATAATTATGGACAGGGGGAGTCCTGCTGCCTGTGGAGGAGACAAAATTGTAGTCCATTGGGCTCAATGGATCCTAATTAGATTTTAGCTAATTAGATTTAGACAAACAGAAGAGCTTTAGAAGGTTCAATGTGTATGAAGCCACATGATTAAAATAAAGTGACGGCATTTTGTCTTCTCTATTGGGTCTTTACCATCAAAATTCACAATCATTAATGATTATAAAAATTAAATATCCAATGACAATTGGACAGCAGGTTATGGATAACGTAAATTAATTGAATTTAAATAATTCTGCTATCTCGTAATCTTTCCATAGGCTCTTCGTTTAAATTAGCCCATCTATGGGTTTGTAGGGTTTACAAAACAATGAATGAAGGGGGGTTTATTCTTTTTTTCGGATTCTGAAAGATGAGGCTGTTTACATGACCCATTGTTCTAAACTTACACCAATTACCTCTGTTTTCCAAACCGTATCTCTTTCTGTCACATAATCAAAAGGCAAGCGCCTGAAGAAAACCCCCGGGAAGAAAAGTTGTAGCATTGGGGGGGATTTAGAGAAAATATTTGACACTTCTTTTTAATTAGGGGGGAGAAAATAACAAATAACATCCTTTTATTATTCTACACTGCCTACCACTCCCAGTTGGGTTCTTAAATCATTCTCAGATCATTCAGAACCCCAACTAATATCAGTAAGATCAGTCACAATTACAACACAAATATATTTACCCTGCCTAAATTGGTATTTTTCCTTGACTTTTAACACTGATAAGCTGCTTCCATCAAAAGACATTATTCTTTAAAAATGTGTTTTAAAAGTGAGTTTTACCCCTTTACACAAAATGCAACATCAGAAATTAGGAATAAACATTCATCAGTCTCTCTACACGCTTGTTAACACAAGTGAGCGAGTGTGTGTGTGTTCCTGTGTTTCATTTACTCACATTGACCACAGCCTCTTTGGTCTGGACCATGTCAGATATCACTCCATCTGTGATCATCAGTAGGACAAAATACTGAGAGCCATCTGTAATCTCTGCTGCATAGCTGGGGAACGTGCGCACACACAGACACACACACACACACACACACACACACATAAATAAACTCAGGTTAGAGCTAATGTTCTGCCTGAGCAGTTACAGACTACTAGTGAAAACCAAAGCACCTTTATCAAAGATTATTCCGTAGACTACTAATAACTAGGACATACACCCACAAGTTGAATCTTCTCCCAACATACAGCAAATTTGATTGATTTGTCTGACCCTTCGTGAAGTTATGTTTGCATCAGTGTATCAACTGCATGTCACATTTATCCATCCTGCTGTGTAGATGTTGATTCATTAAGTACTTTAAGAGAACGATGACATCTTTGACAAAAATGTAATCTCCCCAAACGATATGGCACCGGACTACCTGTCTGTGATAGATAGTTACTTTATTAATCCCACAAAGGGAAATTGTTTTGCTACAGCAGCAATTATATATACAGGTCAAGAAATAACAGAATCTGAATTAGTCCCTTTTTTGGGTGATGCTCTGTTAATTATTTATTTTGTGGATTATCTAAGTGATTATTATTAATTCTATCGATATCAATGATTTAGTTGAAATCAGACATGCACTCCCAACAACATGTTGGCTGGAATGTCAAAGCCACTTCTCTAAATGGGAGATGTAGAATTCATAGCATTAGCACACAGTAGGAGTTTTATTGATCCATGTGTTGAAGTTAACCTGGTGAAAATTTGCAAGTGCGAAATGCGAGTACAGCCATCTTTCAGTAAAACACTTGATGCTGCAGCATGATGCTGCACAATCATTACGCCCTCTGAGAAATGAACCCGATTGTCCAGACCATGCAGCTTTAAATTAATTCAATTCAGATGTGAAGTTATATGGATTGGTATCGACGTTGGCGCATGGAGTAGAGAGGGTGTGCTGTGCAAGGTTGGCAGTTCGAGCCCTGGCTGCTCCATGGCCCATGTCGAAGTGTCCCTGAGCAAGACACCCAGCCCCTAAATGCTCCCCGGGCAAAAAAAAGTAAAAAGCCATGGGTTAAAAAATGCAATGTAAGTCGCTTTGGATAAAAGTGTCAGCTAAATGACCTGTAATGTAATGTGCAAAATACAGTACATGCTTTTCCTGCACGCCCTCTCCACTTGTCTGCTGTCACAATATCCATATACTGTATATATTCTTATCGAAAGAGATAAATGGAAAATGGATTCAGATTTCTTCCGCATGACATGCCAACCCCCTTTGTTTAGAGAGTTATTTACTGCCTAAAAATCACAGCCTTGAGCAACACTCTTCAAATAATAACATGCGCCGAAAAACATGGCATAAACCCTGTGAACCTGCTTGTGGTTTCGCCTCTGCTCTTCATGTCCTTTCCAACCTGAGGCGCAATGAGGAAAACAAAAGGCAATATCAACATCTTCAGCTCATCTTGCATCATTTCAAGCTTGAGCTGATATTTGGCTGTTGAGTGTTTCAACGCGTAGGTATGTGTGTCCTTCACTTTTTATATTCATTGCAAGATGACAATATATTTTACAAGTGACTTCGCTGATCCACGTGGCTCTTCATGCCAGCGATTTGTGAATCTACTTCCCTGTGTGTTCAGAAGAAATACTGAATTGCAGATCTTTTAGCAACCTGAAGACATTTAATTTCAAAAGCAACATCAATCAGCTCACTGTTAGTTAGAGAGGATGGGGGGGACAAGCTTTTTTCTAATAATCTTTTTTCAACCACAACTCTTGTCAGGATTCAAGTGTTTGAGACTTCGCAGCCAGCGTCCAGACCCAATCAGCGTCCTGTGAAGAGCTAATGGCCGCTACGGATTCGGTTTACGTAAACTAAAAAATGAATGCTATTCTCCGTGTCAAACTGAACGTATGACCTTGTCTGGTCTCCATTGAACTTTGGCTGAACCAGTCTCATCTGACTCCCTTTTGCGCCGAGAGGCATATTGGAACTTTTTTTTGCATAGGTTCTGATTCGCATACCACACTAATGCAAATTTGGAATTTCTCTTTGTAGCTCTGCCTTTATTCGGTCAAACACAATTTATATGTGTGTGAACATCTAGCATAGGCGACATATGGCGTAGGTATTGATGGTACAACTGCACCCCCTGTGCGCCTCTCTCAGGAGTGGTGAGAGATCCAGAAAATGTCTTCTTACAATACAGCTGGTCCTCTTTGTAACAGTGTCCAGGGCCCCAGGTCCTTATTCTGAATTTCTATCTGAATTTTCACAGTTCTTAATGAGTTTGGTCCTTAAAACGGACAAGGTAATTATAGTGGGTGATTTTAACATTCATGTGGATGTCGATAACAACAGCCTTGGTACTTTATTTCTTCCATTGTTAGATTCAATTCTGTCAGAGTGTAAATAAACCAACTCATTGTTTTAACCACACCCTCAACTTGGTTCTTGTGCATGGTATTGGGGTAGAACATTTAACAATCTTTCCACAGAACCCTCTCTTGTCAGACCATTGTCTGATAACCTTTGAATCTCCTCCTCCTGCCAAGGGTTTAGTGGATGCTTATCGGATACCGCTGTAACCTCATTTAAAGAATTCCTTGTGCTCTAAGTTCAGTGTCCTGTCTGAGTCAGAAGACTCCTGTGAAAACTTCAGTCTGTCCCAAAATCGATCATCTTGTCGATACTGCTACAGGCTCTTTGAGAGTGGCGCCGGACGCTATTGCTCCTCTGGAAAGAAGAATCGCAACAAGAAGGAGAATGTTTTGGCTAGTTTGGCAAGACAGCCTTAAAACATATAAGAAGGCTCTCCGTAATACAAGAGCATCTTATTACTCATCATTAAGAGAGAAATAAAAACAACTCCAGGTTTCTCTTCAGCACTGTAGTTAGACTGACAGAGAGTCACAGTTCTGTCGAGCCGTGTATTCCTTTGGACCTCAGTAGTACCGACTTGATGATAAGATTCTGACTATCAAAGAGAAAATTGATGGTCTCCTGCCTTCAACCGGTGCTGACCCGTCCTCGGACGTAGGAACCTTGGATGCAGCAGTGGGCTCTGATACCTACTTAGATGGCTTATCTTCCATTAACCTTAATCAACTGACTTCTACAATTTCAAAGTCTAAATCTTCTACTTGTCTCTTATATCCGATTCCGTTTTTCCTTTAGTTTGCAGGTCTTTACAGGATATTATGAATCTTTCTTTGTCGACGGGACATGAACCACGGTCCTTCAAGCTGTAATGTAGCTGTAGCTGTAATTAAACCTCTTCTTAAGAAACCTATTCTTGCCCAGAGGTGTTGGCTAACTACAGACCTAATCTCTAATCTTCCCTTCCTCTCTAAGATCCTTCAGGTCAAGATTTCGAGTGCATCATAGCACAGAAACAGCAATAGTGAAAATTACAAATGATCTTCTACTTGCACCAAACCAAGGACTCATCTCTGTTCTTGTCTTGCTGGACCTCAGTGACCACATTGTACCCTGTTGCAGAGACTAGACCATTTGATTAGTATTAAAGGAACTGCACTGAAATGGTTTAAATCCTATTCATCTGATCGATCCCAGTTTGTGCTTGTTGAACAGTAAATCCTCGATGACCACCAATTTGAGTCCCACAAGATTCTGTGCTTGGACCAATTTTAGGTACCCTGTATATTCTTCCATTGGGAGATGTTATCAGAAAACACTGCATAAACTTCCATTGTTATGCAGACGATACTCAACTGTATCTGTCGATGAAACCAGAGGAGACCGTCCACCTTGTTAGACTTCAAGAATGTCTTGGAGACATCAAAACTTGTGTGACTAGCTACTTCCTGATGCTAAACTAAAAAAAAAACAGAATTTATCTTGAGAGAGTGCCTTTGAAGTCAGCTTTCAGGTGATACAGTTTCTATGGATGGAATTGTTCTGGTATCCAGCAGCGCCGTCAAGAATCTTGAAGTTCTCTTCGACCAGGATATGTCCTTCAACTCTCATATAAAGAAGACCTCAAGGACTGTGTTAGGGATTTAAGCAAGAAGTGCACCCCTAGTGGTGGAAATTATAATACATGTAGTAATTAGACTTGCGGGCGGCACGGTGGCGTGGTGGTTAGCACTGTCGCCTCACAGCAAGAAGGTCCTGGGTTCGATTCCGCCCAGTGGCCTTTCTGTGTGGAGTCTGCATGTTCTCCCCGTGTCTGCGTGGGTTCTCTCCGGGTTCTCCGGCTTCCTCCCACAGTCCAAAGACATGCTCTGGGGATCAGGTTAATTGGGGACTTTAAATTGCCCGTAGATGTGTGAATGTGAGTGTGAATGGTTGTATGTCTCTGTGTAGCCCTGCGATTGGCTGGCGACCAATCCAGGATGTACCCTGTTTATCGCCCGAAGTTGGCTGGGATGGACTCCAGCCCCCCCGCGACCCTGTGTGCAGGATAAGCGGTTTGACAATGGATGGATGGATGGAATCAGACTTGCAGTTTGTGTGTTATTAGATATTAGTTATTACATTAGCATGTTAGATGAAGTAAATACAATATGAAACAAAGTATAGTCATGTAAATCATTTAAACACTGTACACAACATTCTCTCACAAAGTGATGTTAAAACCTGGGGACGGATGCTAATTGCCGTCCTTTATGGATTTCTCCCAATTTTCTCCCCAAAGAGGGTGTTTTGGGAGTTTTTTCTCCTGTCAGGTAGTAGATGAGCAACTGAATACAAGACAGCCAATTGAGGCAAATATCTTGAGGGTTGGACCACATGAACTGTATTAGATCTTATGATGTAGTGTGATGAACTGTGATCATTTATGACGTGTTGTAATTAAAGTTTACTAGTTATAAGACAAACTATGCATGCTATTTTATATTCATTCATTGAGGCATAAAGCCATATGTATCTACATTGAATGCATTGGAATGTGAGGGACAGAAAAGACAAAGAAGGTCTCAGGTTACAGCTGCAGCTTCACACCTTGATGTGAAGATTTGTAAATACAAAATTAATATATACACAATGTATCATTTCATCTAAACAAGTATAGTCAACTTACTTTGCCACTTTGTTGATAACAGGAGCAAAGTTTGTGGGTCCGTACAGCTGCACCGTCTTCAGGCTCCGGAAATAAGCTTCCAGAACTCCCTCTATGCCCACACAGTTTGGATTGTCAGCGTCACCACTCTGCAACAGACAGGACACTAATGAAGCACACAGTACACGTCCACACACACAGTGTACACAAGTATAATGAAGAGGGTAATGCAATACGCACCGGGAATCAATCCCTCCAGAGATAAATTACATAATTTGGCCAATTAAAGATTAAATTAACTACTAAACTAAACATATGCTGCTACGTATCCGTATAGGAAATCTACATTTGACGTACCGCTATCTGTTACACTTTATAGGAGGAAATAGGGGTGGCCCACACCATTAAAGAAACCTAATACATAAGACCCGAGAGACTATTTTACAATAAATGTGTCTCTCTCCAGCCCCTAATTAAAGATTCTGCGATAGTTTCTCTTCAACTGTCAAGTTCACACATGTACAAACATTGGAGTGCCCAACCAGTGAGATCAGCCGGATCTGCTGCTTTTTACCATGGTTTATATATTCTGTCACGGTGTGGTTTTACTTCCTGTTGTATTTTGTAGTTTTCTGCCACTCGTGTCCCCGGGTAACTTCACTTCCTGCCTTGTCCCGTCATCCCCTGTGATCGTCTAATAGTTTCCACCTGTGTCCAATCACCTGCACCTCCCTTGTGTATTTAAGCCATGTGTCTCCTGTGTCACTTGCCGCGTCATTGTCTTTCGCCACGCATGTCCGTGTCTCTTGAGTTGCATGCCTGTGTGTTTTTTCCCCTTGGCCTTTTGATTTTTGACCTTTGACTATTAAAGTCCCTTTTGTTTTGAACTCTGCGTCTTGAGTCCTGCCTCCACCCTCAACCCTGACATATTCATAATAGTAAAATAATTGCCAACTTATATTTTGGTGCAGTAAAAGTACAATGCCTCGATTGACTTGCTCATCAGATTTCCTCCATTACTTGTGTTTCTATGTGTGTGTGTTTGTGGTGAAGTGGATAATGTCGTCATTGTTACAAAACCTTTATTCCACAAACTGACACTTTGATAATCCCAACAACTGGAGGGAACTCAATGGGCTTGCTTCTCAAGCACGATGCTTCTAAAGTTTCAATGCCGTTCGAGCCCTGATCCAGGCCTCTGTGCTTTTTCAATTGACAAAATGAAATAAACACAGGTGTGTCATGTTGACAGGGATTTAAAACTCCGGTAATCCACAGTATTACATTCGTAATGGCCTCAGGTGGTGTTTTTAATTATACTCTAATAGAGGAAATCACGACTTTCAGAAGAAAAAATAAAATCAGGAGCAAAGAAGCACAGGCCATGCTTGGGTCATAAAAGCCTCACTTGGATCCCTTTCAGTTCTGCATCTAGCGGTTCCCGACTGGATTCCCTCATCTCTCAGGAGGATACACGGAGGAAGTGGAGGTGGAATGCTAAGAGATTCCCGCTGGCAGTGAGATGAGCCGACTTTGCATCTTCTGCGACCAGCTGTCATCACAGCAAAGAAGTCGGTCCATGCTACGCCCTGTTGTACAGTGTGTTGTGTGTTGTATGTGTGCTTTGTAAGTGTGAATTCATGTGCTTGTGTATGTTCATTTGTGTATCTTACCAGCGGGAAGCCATGAGAGATTTTGCCATCGGGGGGGAGTTTAGCTCCGAAGCCATAGGCAGGAAAGAGCTTGTCGCTATCGTAGTCCTGGATAATCTCACCGACCGCTTTCAGGGCCATGGCATATGCATTCATCTGGTAGGGGCTCATATAGTGGAGGGAAGTGGGCTGTGAGGGATTACCTTGGAGAAAGACACACACACATATATTGAACTCAATAGAGTGAGTCACCTTTGATGCAAAAGTATTATTATTTTTTAAATAATAGGTTGTGTATGTAATGAACTGCATGCAGAATCTTGGCACAAAAAGTTAATTGTGATATTTAACAGATATCAAAAATAAATCAAAGAATCATGTTAACAGGATTATTTTAGAGGTTTTGGTTAAGAATCATGATTTAGACTCTTGTCATCTCCTGCATTGACTACTGTAACTAACACCGTCATAAATTGTCAACATAGACATTACTCAGTTTGGGAAGGTGGAATTCCAGATAAGCCTTGGATGGACACCAAGATGCACACTCAACAAGCATATTGGAGTGATTGCATGATTCGCCTGGCAGAGAACTCAATAAAGATGGAAGCTAAAGCTTACAGATCATAGTGTGGAAATGAACCACGGCGATTAAGACAAAAGACAATCAAATGAACGATCACTGTTCCTACAAAGCTAGGTAGATCTTTATTCTGTTACAATCATTGAAGAGCAGTAGCTAGCTTGGCATAGAGTCAAAGTCAGCTTTAAGTATTACATCACAGGTCATTTAGCTTTTATCCAAAGCGACTTACATTACACTTTAAACCCATGGCTTTTTTTTCCACATCTTTTTGCCCGGGGAGCATTTAGGGGTTAGGTGTCTTGTTCAGGGACACTTCGACTTGAGACATGGGGCAGCCAGGACTCGAATCACCAACCTTGCAGTTCCCAGTGCACCCGCTCTACCCCTGCGCCACGACGATATAATGAAGCTAAGCTTTTTTACTTCACGAAACCAGCTTTCTTGAAAACGAACTGTTCTGAGCAAACACACATGCTTTTCATAGTGAATAATGAAACATGCAAGGCAAAGACATTTTTCTATAACACAACAGTTCGAGTCGTACCATTGGAGGCTGTGAAGTCTATAGCCACGGTGAAGTTGATCTGTGTTCTGTTGCATGGAAAATGGGATTCAAAGAGAAAAAAACATTGAAGATGACACTTCAGCACACTTAATACATTCTGTATCTCCAACGCATTCCAAGTGATGCAATTAAGAGCAAAATAATCAATTTACTGGTTCACTGGCTAATTGGGATGGCACAACAAAATTCCCTCCATCTCGAAGGCCTGAAACAAATGTAACGATTTCTCAAAAGCGATTGAACTGAATAAATTAGGTATTAACAAATGCAAATGTCCTTACAAATTCAAAAAATTTAAATTTGAATTCAAAGTGATACTCACAAAGAGGCTAATGACAAATTCAATCTTGTATTGACAGAGACAACACAATGATTCACATTAATTTCCTGATGACTCAATCCAACTATTACTGCTAATATCCTAACCCTTACCCTAACATTAAACCAAGTCCTCATCTTAAAACGTAACGATGGTAAACTGATCTTATAAGCATGCAGAGTCCTGCCAATGTAATGTGATAAACAGATATTTGTCTCCCGCAACGAACAACCAGTATGTCAACTGTCGACACTGAACGCGAAATGAAGCTTATTATTATTCCACTCACCCTCCTCGTATGAAATCCACAAATGTATACTCAGACTCCACTTTGAAGGACAGCAGAGTAACCTAGCAAACACACACACACACACACTCACACATATCAAGTGATGAGCAGAAAAGAGCGGGTGGAAAAGGGACAGAGGTAGACGGGAAGGGATAAGACAAACAGGTGGCCAGACAGCAGCGAGAGAGAAGAAGATGTAAGAGATGATGATACCCATACAAATATGTAAAACATTAAATAGAACATCAGAGATGTCGGCGCACTCACAGTTCCAGAATTGACGTACTTCTTCTTTTTTCCTTTCTTCTTGGGATTCAAAACCTGCCGGCGATGGCGGAAAGCTAGTTAGTGACCGAGCGAGTACTTCAGAGCCTGTAATAATGTTTACATGAATAATTCAACAGATGGCTGGTGGTGAAATGCCACGAATTTAGACTGATGCTGTTGTTTAGCTGTGTTCATATAGAGATTAGGGAGGGTAAAATGTGAAAATATTACACAATCCATCATTTTAAAATCCGACTTAACTTTCTCTTTCCCCTTAGTTTAGGGAACAAGACATGTTTTCTCATTTATAATGCTACAGTACTGTTATCACAGTAAGTGTACATTTCATCTTAATATCCAATATAACGTTTTTTACGATATTTTATGAGAAAAGTTTTGCTGTATTTTTTCTTTTTTGGTGTCATCTGAAGAATGTCTAGCAACACTATAGCGATCAGTGCACAAGTTCTTTGCAGTGCAAATACGTGTGATAAGAAGTGTAGGTTGTCATTTTGAGGTCACGTCTTAGTTTAATCACTGGTTTTATGGTAAATGGTAAATAGAATGTACTTGTGTGAGAATGTGATTTTCTAGTCTTCCGTCCACTCAAAGCGCTTTACACTTCATGTCATCATTCACCTGTTCACACCCATTCATACACTGATGACAGGAGCTAACACACACAGTGACACCTGCCCGTCAGTAACCATCGTTCACACACTGTAGTCACAGCTACAGGGGCAATGTTGGGGTTAAGTGGGTAAGCGTAAATACACTGTGTACAGCTCCTGTTCCTGTCAATCACAAGTGAAACTACATTTTGAGGCAATACACTTTACAATTTTTACTGGGGGAATGAATTAAGTGAGAAGCAGAGTCATTTTCTCTTAGTCTTCTGTAACTTTGGACTTTGGACGGGAGAAGATTTCCGCTGATGGTCAGTTGAGAGAATCCAGGTTCTAAAACTTCTGGTTTCACAGCAGGGTCTCCAGAGTCAAAGTCCTCTGTGTTTGGAACCGCCCCTTCCAGGTTTGAGCCCAAAATAGCTGGGTTAGGGTTAGGGGTTAGTAGTATTTATATATTATTGTTTGTTATATTAAGTTATGTGCTTATTTTGTCCAAAACTGTGCAAACAGTTTTTCATTTTCTTTTTTCTACCATGATGAATATTTTTGGTTTCAATAAAAATGATGGAACCTGCTCTATCAACTGAGAAAAAAACGAACACAGGCAGAGGACGCGTAGCAAAAAAGCCGTACCAAAGGCCATGGATAACAACAAACCCCCCTCATTTATCAACTCACCTCGTAGACATTGAACTGGTTTTGCCCCCGAGACAGCTCTCTGTAGCTGGTGGTGAACTCACCAATGAAGTCATGGCTGCAGACAAAACCCCCATAAAAGGCCAATGAGGATGAGTGCAAATTTCATGAAGAGAAATGGTCTTTACCACTATCTCTAGCCACGTGGCTTTCTTGATTCTTTGTTTCTGTCAATTTCTCAAATATTTTGACAAAAGGTGACATTGGATGGACATCAATATGAATCCCAGCGGCACAGTATGTGATTACCAACAGATTAATTTACCTTCCATCTCGATCCCAGTCATAGACATCTACCTTCACAGTCCTAAAAAATTACAGAAAATGTTTTAATTCAAGATTTCCTTTATACCAGATCACATCCTGTCAATAAAACAGTGAAACTGAACTTGTGTTAAACTAAAAAAGGTGTATTTGTATTTATAGTTAAACTTGTAAAACTTATAATTACGTTAAACGTATTAGTGGTAATGTTAGCCATATTTGAACAGCGAATCCACACAGTAAGAAAAGGTGAGGAGAAGTAGAGGACAACTGCTCCCTAGTGGCCCTGTGTGCTGCTATGTGTAGAGTGTATTTTGCTGGAACAGCCACTCGGCAATATCCAACCTGAGTTTGATAACAGAGGGCTGGGAGAAGACTGAGTCAGTCCCAATAACACCAGTGCTGGTCCCTGGGAGACCGTGACCGACTGCTGGCATTATTCTGACCGCCCCAGCAACAGATGATGTCATCCACATAGAAGTCTGCCAATGCCTACAAGTTCCCCTCCTGATATGTTTTGGTATGTGGAAATAATCTGGTATGAGTAACATCATGTTTACCATACGCACAAAAGTTAAAAGGAAAAAAAGGGAACAGCACTTTCTCCCTTATTGAGAATATCTGGGTGTAGCCTCGCCCTGCCCACCACAGCTATTCGTGCTACGTTGGACAGTACAGCAGAAGGTGTTTAATGACCATCAAAATCTACGACTAGCAGACTTGGCAGACTTGTAAGAGAAGCGTCCTATATTTTTCTACATTGTTCTTTAGCTAGTTACTGGTAAAGTGGCGTCTTTTTTTGTTCATGTTGTTCGCTATTTTGTACGTGGTACGTGAAGATACCATCTTTAATTGTTTGATGGTTTTATTAGTTTATGTTGTACCTTAGCTTGTAACAGATAAGTGTAGTACATACTCTAGTTCACGTTGTGGTTAGTGGTTGTGAAACACAATTACATTTTTCACCCTTGTTCTCTGTGGTAATAAGTCTGCTGTTACCGCTATTTCTCAAGATCTTTTTGATATTTGTGTTGAATTTCCATATTAAACAACGATGAGCTGTCAAATTAGTAAAGTAGCAGAACTGGGATACAGTTTGAATCTTTGCTTTTCAATAATTTCACTGACATCTCCCTGCAACCATTTGTCAGAATTAAATGATGCCATTGGATATTGACCATTTGAATCTTGATGTTTCAAGTGCAAAAATATGTTTTAAATCAACATTTCTCCATACACGCGTTTCTAAATTCAACATACTTTTCAGATCATCATCTTGAGAAACATGTTTCTGAACCAACAATATGCTTCATATAAATATTTTTACTGTTTTTATGTGTTGTACCGCATGTTTTGCTTAGAAGCGGCATTATAACGGTTAGGTTTATCAAGCAAAACTGTGTTTTGGGTTAAATCATGTTTAATTTGGTTTTAAGACGCAAGCACCAGTCCCCTAGGTGAAAAGTCCTACAGTTGACCAATCCATCCCCTCTAACATTTTGGAAATAAGTTTTAATTCAAAATGTTTGTTATACTTTAAATACAAACTTAATTAGTGAGAAGATCACTTGAAACGTAATTGATAATGCTGTTTTGTTATTTTTGCAACCAAGCTGTCAGTAGAGGAAGGTGAAAACCCACCAAGGACAAACCTTATACAGTTACAAGTCAGAAGTTAAAATATGATAATGACATGTCATTCACAGCGTTGTGCAGACAAATCTTTTACCTGTCGTAGTCACCATTGCAGAGAGCTCTAACTGGGATGGTGAAGGGCTGCCACACTGGGTTCAGGGTGTTCTTTATCACCTCCGTCTTGTGACAGATGGTGAACCTGACAGCAAAATAACACACAGACAAGGCCACTAAGAAGAAAGCACTTTCATATTGCCTGGGAAGATAATCCCAAATCACCCATCTGTAGCTTTCTTTGCAGTTTGTTGTTTAAATCCATCTGCCGGACATGGCAGATTTGCAGATAGTGTTAATACATTACAAAAAATAATCTCTCAAAGGCAGAGCGGGAGAAAGAGGTAATAATCCTCAGGGTTCAGACAAGCCTCGATGGGTGGTGTTATGTGACTTAGATGATCTCAAAAAACGGTTTGAATAAGACACCAAATGAGACTGATCTGCACTTTGATATTATTGGTATTCACCTCCCAAATGCTCCGAAAATACTTTTCTGTCATTGTCCCAGCTGTTCTTTCCTTTACATTTACAACACATTACATGTCATTTAGCTGATGCTTTTATCCAAAGCGACTTACATTGCATTTTTAACCCATGGTTTTACATTTTTAACCCATCCCACACAGTGGGAGTAGTGTGCAGCCGTAAGGGCGCCTGGGGAGCAATTAGGGGTTAGGTGTCTTGCTCAGGGACACTTTAACATTGGGGATGGAACAGCCAGGGTTCGAACCGCAAACCTGTCAGTTCCCGGCGCACCATCTCTACTCCATGCACCACGGACTTTCAAAAACATCAACACAGGTATAAGTATCTGGGATTAATTACATTGTTTAGGTTACATTGAAGACAAGGATAATTCTTTTTTAAAGTTTTCAGCTTCCATTAGTTAAAATTATGAACGGTGGTCCGACTCACGTTCCATCCTCATTACTCCGAAAGAAAACCAGGAAGGGGTCCGATTTGCCAAAAAAGTCTTTTTTGTCGAGCTTGTTGGCGCACAACTGCATGGTAGCAATATCCTGAGAGAGAAGACAAGCAGTTTTGGTTGGAGCTCTTGGAAAATCATGTCTTGAATTGGCAATTTCTCGCCATTGAAGTCACAGGTTTTTGTCGAACTGAAACTCCTTCAGAATAGAAAGCAGTTGGAAATATTTCACACTAAATGGCAACTCAACCATGCATCAGAGCCCAAACACTAAACAATGCGTATACGCAATGCATATAAGCAATTCATACAACGAGCGGTGTTTCTTTAAATGGCACATTCTAATAGTGGTAAAAAAAGTGGTTTTACTATGAGCTAGTTTTAATACAGTCAAAAAGAATGGCTTTAAATACGTGAGTATATATGGTTGCAGCTAATGAAAAAATACTTTATTCCTGCTTGTGTGTTGATGACTGGGATGGGACTAGAAAGCAAGGAAGGGCGGATGGAAGGGCTGATTGATTGATTGATGGATGTTGAACGCCCCTTAATGAAACACGTTAGTCAGTGTCTTCAGTAGGAAGGCATCACGAGAAACCTATGCGTGTCATTGGTTTTGCAGTCTAGACATGCACACACACACACACACACACGCACACACACTCACGCAAGCGTACACAGCACTACATTTCTGAAGAGCAAAACCTCATAGAGAAATTATGGTAAACACATCCAAGTGGTCACGACAAAATAAACCCATTCTGAAGGTCTGGAGTCTCAAGTTTGTGCTCACAAAGGAAATACTGTATGTAAAAGTACCCAACTCTCTCTCACACACACACACACACACACACACACACACACACACACATCCACACTTACTTTCCTTAATGCCCAACCGCACTACTCCAACTAAGTGGGGACCACATAAAAAGAATAGCAAATTCACTTTTCTGAGAATAATTTGTCAATTGAAAATTAGCACCCATTGACTTCAATCACTAGTGATGTTTACCCATCAAAGAAGGAAAATCTAGCAAAATTACTTGCATAATTAAACTTGAATGTTATCTATATTCATATATTGGATACATTCCCGAATATTAACAGAAAAAACACAAACACATACAAGAAGAAAGTCACTGCCTGTATCTGACTGCATTGATTGGTAGTAATGTATTATTGCACAAGGGGAACGGAAAAATTATAAAAGGAAAATCATTATAGCTGCAAACCATCTTGACAGTTGACTGAAAAGCTAAACTTGAAGGTTCCCAAAATTAATTTAAAGGTCAAACCTTTGTTTTACATTTCATGATCTGCTGTTGAAAGATTGTCCCATCATGTGTATGGTGGGACTGGGAGGGGGGGGGGGGGGGGGGTTGCACGTCACATAACAACCTCCACAACATTATTAGGATGAATAAAACCTGTACTGTTTATGAAAATACGTAGATTGTATGCATGTTTGAGGGTGTGTGTATGTTTGTGTGTGTGCCTGCGTGTGTGTGTGTGTGTGTGTGTACTTACCCTGCAGTTACTGAGCTCCTCTGCAGCAAAGATAATGACTCCACACTTCTTCCCTGGAATCCCACTGAGGACAAGAGTAGAACAGAGGAAAAGACTGAGAAAGCAGGTGTTTATGGCATGTCGTACATAATACAATCGCCAAGCAGATGTCCGTCATCGCTACAAGCTGTTGTTGAGATATATGACAATCTGCCTGCCGAGCTGTCATCTTTCCAATTTGCAGCCCTGCATCTTAATGAAAATAGTGCTAAAAAATAACAAAAGCTTCACAAACTTTTGGACACCCCTCAAAACGATGTGTAAGATAGTAGCTAATTAATAAAATATCTCATCATAAACCAGGCAAATTTCTTTGAACACAGATGCAGCTACTATGAAGAAACAGAATATTTTTTTCCGGGTAAATGCCCAACAGGCCTTATTTGATTCCACAAAGTGGAATAAGACAACAAGAAGGAGGCCGAAATACTTAATTGTCTCTGGACTACCTAGATATGCAAAAAATGCTCACCGAACTGGCTTAAATGATTTGTTTAGACTGTGGCACGCTTTATTATTCTAGAGCAAATGTGCCCGAGTTGGTTTGATGTGGACTTCAGTTGACTTGTAGTACTAATGTAACCAAGCCGCTGAAATTCTATTGAAGGGGTTTGAATGGTTCAGTCCCCGTGTGGAACAATCCTATCTTTTATGAACTACTACAAAGCAATAAGGTACAAGAGGCTGTACTTTGTCGTCAATCATGTTACAGCTCAAGGGTGTTGTTATGCGGCAAACCCTTGAACTAAAAAAACAAAGTGTATCTTGCATTCTTGTGGAGGTGCTTGCATGCACAAAAACCTTCCGCAGTTTTCCTTTTACATCAAGGTGACAAAGCAGACAAATATTTACTTAACATAATCATCATCATAATAATCATTTCAAAGGCAGCAGTTGGTGTGATTTATTTTTTCCTTTCGATATCTCTAATGTACCAAGACAGAGGAATGAATCTCTCACAAGAACAAAAATGTATGCAACCATTCCACCCCACCCTCCGTTTTCTCTACACTGTATTCAAGGTTAAAGCCCTTAAAGTTGCTTCCCACCTCCAACCTTTCTTTTGTTTCCCTCCCAATTAAAGTCAAATTCATTTCAAATCTTGAGACCGAAACTGACTGCGGTGAAGAACAATTTACTGAACCGTTAAAAGTGGAATGAATTGAACAGAAAAAAACGAGTAGATGTCTTAAACAGTTGATTGAGTAGAAAATGAAAGGAGCAATGGATTGGAAGTGAAAGAAGAAAAACAAGGGGCCGCTTCTGACAGTTGGGGGACAAAAGGATCAAGCTTTGCTGCTACCTCATCAAAGTTTCCCGATGAGGTTAAAAAGATGAAGCAGTAAGCGGGGGAGAGATATAAAAGAAATTACACGAGAATGAAAAAGAGGAATGATGAGTGATGGGAAAAAATAGCCTTTGACATGTTATCATGTTTTGATATATGATAATAATAGAGATGGCTTTTCATATGATGGGCAGGAATAAAATAGAAACTTGTGCGGTGCTTTTATGTGCTATGTGCTTGTGCAAGGCATCCACATCCGAGCACTTGATTGTGTATATTGATGCTTTGAAGGATAGTTTATCTTCAAGCCTCTGAACACCCACACAATTGTTTTCGGGTAATCTGTCAAAGCAGACCAAGCAGTCAGGACTGCATGGGTCTGCGTGGATGTACCAATCATAGCGTAGCATTGGCCAGAGCACGTTAGCATGTAAGTTGGCACTTACTATACTATAATACTATAATTCAAACAGGACAGTGCAGCAGTAAATACAGCACGTATGTACATAATCGTTAAAACGTTCTGTGAGGTCACTTAATCATGCAGGTGTCATATTTTAAAGACTAGCATTTAAGAAGAAAACCAGAGTGTTTCTTATTTAGTGAGCACAACATCTGCCATCAAAACTTGAAAGAGCAGAACAACCGAAACCATGTGTGCTTTTCAAAGGGAAAATGTGGGAGATCCATTTGTTTCCTCAGCAGACAGCTCTAGTGACAGCTAAGTGAGCACACTCACAATGTGTTTCCTTCTTAATATCCAGACGCCTCTTCTTTCTTAGACACATAGACACGTTCAGATATGAATGCAATTTTTCATTATTAATATTATTGTCTTTTATAGCAGCCGGTTTCTGCTTCGTCGGAATTAATTTTGTCTCATTTTCATCTGCCGCCTTGTGCTGCAGCTGTGCAAAAATTCTGGGGAGGCCCTGAGGCAAAGTCAGCAGGCAGAGTTCAATAACCCGGATATTTCAACAGCATTTCAGTCACAATGAAGCAGAATGTAATTCAAGCCACTCTCAGAGGAACCATTGACACTAACTTGTTTCGCTTTTACACACGGAGCCGAAGGAGCAGGACATTTGACAGAGAGCAAGAGGAAAAGGAAACATGAAGCCACTATGTAAGTCAAATTGATTCAAGGACACAGTGGTCAGGGATAGCGTTAGGTGATCTGGTGCTTGGACACTGACCACAGAATATTAAGGAAAAATATTTGACCTGTTTTGTTTCTCAGTGTAGAAGTGTAGTCTCTTAACATAGCGTTTAGATTTATTTCTCTCCTTGTTCGTGGTGTTTGCTCGCGTAAGAGGCATGAAAAAGGAAGAATAACCTTCTGTAATAATCACTGCATTTTATGAAATAGTATGAAATGCAATATTTTGTTGTAGGGAGGAAACAGACTACATATCTTTTGTGTGGCTCATGACGACACATTAAAGTTAGGTTAAGGCTCCAAAACAACTTATTTAGGCTTTGGAAAAACATTTTTTGGTTCTTAAAATAACTACATAATTTCGATACAGGCAACTAAATAATAACCATAAACAACCATGATACGTGGTTGAACGTCCTGGGTTTGATGGACCAATCCACTATTTTGCAACCTGGAGATCTATCTGTCATGACACTTGGCTGTTTATCATTAGAGAGCACATCAAAATAACACATTCCCGACAATGTCAATAAGCGTGTTACGGAAAAAAACAAAGCAATAAAGATGTCTCCAATTTCTAGGATGGAAAGCTAAAACTATGAGAAACGTAAAAAGTATTGCAAAAAGATTTCTCATGAAAGAATATTTTGTTATGGTGTAAGTAAGGAATCCGTTTACGGTCTGCGTCGTGAGACACAGACCGTGAGACAACAGACATTGTTGTCGAAATAAAGCCAAATAGATGGTTTAATTCAAATCAAAAAATGTTAAACAAAGCATAAATCAACCCAGTGCAGTTACACTATGAATGATAAACAAAAGTATTCAATCAAATAGAGCCTCCACGTGGCCAAACCCCACGGTCTGGCGTCTAGCAGCCTGATTTAACCCCAGAGAGACATGATATTTTCAAACATTTAAAACTATTTTTCTTGACAAAAACAGGTATGTAATACAAGTATGTAATTAAAATAACTTGTAGTTATTGTCAGTCGCATTGGGTAAAAGCGTCAGAAAAATGAAAAATGTAAATGTAAGAAAGAAAACTAACTAAACTAATAAACAACCAATATTCGTCCTCTGAAGTTGCTAAAATGTATAGTTTTGAGGACTGCCACTCTCACTAAATAAGCTGCATCCCAAGATCAACTTGGAAAGTCAGTTTGCCTTGGATTTCATCTTTAAAGCAGCTTATTTCACATTCTTCCTGTGCATAGCCCCTAACCACAAAGTCATTGATTATGCATGTTATTCAGTCAGTGTAGCTCCTCTCTTTCTGTTACTCCTAAATCAGTTATCCGTTTGTAGTTCTTTCTCCAGGGCCCCTCCTGAACCAATTATAAGCTTCTTCTCACAAATATAAGCTAAACTATATTCTCATTATAATATCTTGAAATGTGATGCAATTATCCACCACCAACACAACACTAATGAAACCATTTAAGCTCCCTATGGAGTTTCCTTGTAAACAAACACATCTTCAATAAGTGTTTTGAAGATTGCTTTATGACCTTCCTCAATAAATATTTGTTTTTTATTATATATTTGGAATTCTGCATTGTGTATGTCAGGGTTTACATTTGCCTGTTGAAACTCCCAAGGCACCAAATAAGATGCAGAATGCATCCCTTGAGATGCACCAGGCTTTCAACTAACTCTAATGTAAACACATCTGCATCATTATTAGGCACGGAGAGCAACAGAATGAGTATAAAAAGCAACAATGTCTGCACTTTTACTTGGGGGACTGGCATCCATGTCTATCAGTGATTGTTACTGATGTCATTGTTGCTGCATATTAAGTTAACCATGTGCAATGTTAACAAATTTAGAGGTGAATGGAGTAGAGAGAGCAAAATGTAAAACCATGGGTTAAAATGAAATGTCGCTTTGGATAAAGGCGTCAACTAAATTACATTTAATGTTACCGTGTGTAACTACATATCGTTACCTTGCCTTAATCCTCAGTTGATTATAAGTGTGTCATTAAGTGTGTCATAAGTGTGTCATTGAAAGAGTGTGACTTCAATTCAAAAGACAACGCAATTTTACAAGCTTTCAAGATGGAAGCTGCATCAAGAAGAATTATTTCCATGATCCAGAGCTTGTCCCCTATTGGTAAGTGATAAGGTTTACTATATTATAGGCAAGGCCAGGGGGGCACTGAACGGTCTGTCCGACGGTGGGGTGTGTGGCGTGCAATTTCAAGCGGGCGCTGCTGTCTGGAGTAATGCCGTGGTCGAAAAGGTCCAACTTTTCAATCCAAGTCATGGTGATCCCAGTCTAACGCATGCACTCACTCACAGTGAGCAGTGCAACCCCCAGTGGGGTTTACCAGGTGTATCTTGAGTCTGACCCCGCTCACCACCAGATGGTGATCAGTTGACCACTCTGCCCCTCTCTTTACCCGAGTGTCCAAAACGGGCCGCCTCAGATCAGACGATACAATTACGGACAAGGGCAGGCTTCAGCGGGTCATCCGCTCTGCAGAGAGGGTGATCGGCTGAGGGTGATCGGCTGCAATCTGCCGTCCCTGGGAGGTAGGTTTAGGTGTGTCACTGGAGGCGGAGATTTTAAT